AAAGAGAGAGAGAAGAGAGAAATGTTGGCAAGGGTGGGTGTAGATACCTCTAGTAGGATTTTATCAAGTCTTCTCCAATAAAGCTCATATGCTTTAGCATCCATTTTTTCTAGAAAAAAAATCAAAACCTATAGCTAAAAACAATTCATACTATTGAATCACAATCAGTAAAGAATAAAAATAAAAGTAAATAATTTAGAATTGTTACTTACTTTCTTCAAATCTCTAGAGATGATGGAGAGGTGCTCCGGCGGTGGTGATAGAGGTGGATAGTGGCGATGTCGGTAGTAATCAGGTATGGTTCTAGTGTTTTCTATATGATTTCTAGCTCGAGAGAGATAGAGATAGATGTGGTGAAGGGAAAAGCGTTTGTGAGGAATGCAATCGATATGGTTTATGTGGTTGTGGTGACCAAAGATTACCAGTTATTAAATAGCCAATCTCCAGCCATAGAACTTGGAACACTAATAAGATGGAACATTGGTAACCACAAATGGGATGCAGCCGACTATAATGTCAAACCACAACAACGACGATGGTGGTGATCCGTTGTGTAGGTGGCCCGCTAGCGTTTTCTTGTGAGAGAAAGAAGAGTGACATTTTTTAGATTTTAAATCAAGGTAAAACGAGAAAGAAAGAAGAACCGCAACAGTCAGCGCATAGTGGCTGACACGTCAGCAAATTCGACCCAGTCAGCATACACGTGGCATTCCTCCTATGCATGTTACCGGCTAGAAGGGTAAAACCGAAAAAAAAATTACAAGTTTGCGGTATAAACGAACCAAAATTCTCTCAAAGGGTAAAAACCGCAAATTTCTGAAAAACTTAAGGCTTTTTATGACATTATCCCGTTTACTAAAATAAGATTCATGACTTTTTAATGCATAAACTTGTTGTATATAATGTTTTAAGGGTTATACTTCTTAAAATTCAGCATTTAAGGTTAAATGTTTATATATATATATATATATATATATATATATATATATATATATATATATATATATATATATATTTCATGATATATGTCAATGAAATAGAATGGTGGGGAAAAGTGATTAACATGTAAATGATTAGTGGTTTAATATATGGGTCAATTACTAATCTAGCCAAATTAAGGAAATGATTATCAATTTTTAGCTAAAAATTAGTAAATGTTCAAATATAGCCCACGAAACCGTAGGTTTCTATATTCGTCTACTGTTTCGCCAATTCGTCTACTGTCTCGTGTTTTGTATTATATTTTTTTTTTCATTTCTAAGATACAAAACCGTAGGTTTTTTAAACCTACAGTTTCCTCTCGTTTTAGCTACGGTTTCCCAAAACGTAGCCTACGGTTTTGGGAAAAAAATATGGTTTTTTTTTTTTTTAAAGTCTACTGTTTTGGGGTTTAATCTACTGTTTTGTTAAAAAAACTACGGTTTTAATTCTTTTTTTTGTGATATAAAGTATTAAAAAGAGTGTTTATAAGATGTAGATTTATTTTAACAATTATTTTGTTAAAATTTTTTGAGAATTCAAAACAATAGACTTTAAAAAAAAAAAAAAAAAAAAAAAAAAAAAAAAAAAAAACGAATTTTTTTTCCCAAAACCTTAGGCTACGGTTTGGGAAACCGTAGCTAAAACGAGAGGAAACCGTAGGTTTTAAAAAACCTACGTTTTGTATCTTAGAAATGAAAAAAAAAAATTATACAAAACACGAAACAGTAGGCGAATTACCACAAAAGAGTAGTTAACGCCCGTTGACCGTAGTCAACTGCTGTTGACTGTTGTCAACTATAGGTTGACTACTCTTTTGTGGGCTATTTTTGGTTAAGAGGTTTTTTTTGCTATTATTTGATAAGTAATTAGCAATTATGGCTAGATTTGTATTTTCCCCTTAATATATTAGTAATGATTTTTGATTTAATACATTTAGTTATGTTATACAAATTAAAATTACTAAAAAATAGAAAACAAAACACAAACATATGCAACTATCCAGATTATATGTATCTATACATAATTAATATATTTTTGGTTAATTTAAACTTTTGAAATTAATAGAACATTATTTATTTATAATTTATAATTTATTAAAATATCTGACTATTTAATATAAAGTCTAATTACGGATAACTAGTTCTTATTTGATAACAATATTTTAATATAACAATAAATATTTTCCACAAATTTCTAAAATTATTTTTATAATATGTATTTTAAAATTTAACATTTGTATGTGTAATTTATTTATGAACTAGGAGTTAGACCCTCACATGTTCGAGTGCGACCCTAGATTAACGATGAACCATGTTATTTAAGTATTTTATAGACAAAGTTACATAAATGATCCTTGTGGTTGACAGAATAGATCAGTTTTAGTCCTTATGATGAATTGTTTGCATAGATGGCCCATGTGGTTTCAAAATGTTGCAAAGACGGTCCTTTTGGCTAACGGTGTTCAATTTTTCAGTTAAGTTCTTTGTTAAATGACACATTTACCCATCCCGTCATAAGGACCATTTATGTAATTTGTTCAAGCCATATGGAACATTTATGTAATTTTATCTATTATTTATTATCTTTATATTTTATTTATTTATATTTTTTATTAATTAAATTTTTTTGACTTTTTTTTCGAATATAATGTTCAATTTTTTTCGCTTATATCTTTTTGGTTTTTCTGTTCAAATAAATTCCTTCAATTTTGTGACGTTTTATTCGGATACATGTATTATTTTTATTTTTATTTTTATTTTTTTTTATGTTTTGTTTGAATAATTTTTTTTTATGTTTTGTTCAAATACATTTTTAACATTTTCAATATATATTTTTTACGTTTTGTTTTTTTTTATAGGGATATTGAGTAATCTAACCATTTTTTGTATTGTAATTATTTTTAAAATAACTACCTTTTTTTTTTTTGAAAAATAACTATTTAGTCCGGAATTCATACATTTCATGCCATGTTATTAAACGGGTTAGATCTGACCCCATATTGTGGTGGTCCCCCTGTCAAAAAACACCATATTGTACTATGTTTGGATTTCTCTGTTCCGGGCTACTCTAAGTTTGAAAAATGTTTTCTACCGGTGAAAAGCTCTAAGATTTGTGGGTATGTGTCAACTTTTTGTATGATTATATGTTCAAAATAAAGTAGAAGTGTTTTTGTATGATATATGTGATTAATTGGAAATAATTTAATTTTTATTCGGTTTTGGTCTTTCGGAGGTTAATTTTGATTAATTGGAGTTATTTTTTTACAGTAGTACAGATTAGAAATAATTCGTTTTGCTTCGATTTTTTATAACTATATGTGATTAATTCCAATTAATCACAATTAACCATCGAAACTGAAGCAAAACAAATTATTTCAAAATAATCACATATAATCATACAAAAAACACTTCAACTTTATTTTGAACATATAATCACATATAATCATACAAACAATTGACACATATCCATAAATGTTTGAGCTCTTCACCGGTAGAATATATTTTTTGAAGTTGGAATAGCCTGACACGGAGAAGTCCAAAACATAGTACGAAATGGATGTCTTGGACTGGCGGACCAAAGTACCGAGCCGGATTTGACACGTTTAATAATACGGTCCGAAATGTATACATTGTTGACTAAGTGGTTATTTAAAAAAAAGTGGTTATTTTTTATAAAATACAATAAAAAAATGGTTAGATTACTCAATTTCCCTATAAAAAAACAAAAAGTAAAAAAAAGACATTAAAAATGTATTCGAACAAAACATAAAAAAACATTAATAAATGTACTCGAATAAACGTCAAAAAAATTTAAGAAATTTATTTGAACAAAAAACATCAACAAATATAAGCAAAAAAAATATAAAAAATATTAAACATTATATTTAAACAAAACATCAAGAAAATTAAAAACATATAAATAAAATCAAATAAGAAGTTAATAAATAATAGACAAAATTACATAAATGGTCCCTGTGACATGAACAAATTACATAAATTGTCCATATGACACGAATGACATATATGTCATTTCACAAGGAGCTTAACTGGAAAAGTTAACACCGTTAGTTAAAATGACCATCTTTACAACATTTTAAAATCACAAAGACCATCTATACAAACAATTCATCATAAGGACTAAAGTTGATCTATTTTGTAAACCACAATGACCACTTATGTAATTTTGTCATTTTATATTTGTATCTAATGTTCAATTTAAATTTAATAAGTACTATATTTTTTTACATCATTTTAAATTTAATAAAAATTAATAAGTACTATATTTCTTTACACACAACAAAAGGTTAAATACTTTATTGAATATGACAATTAATTATATCCACAACTACATTAGGGGTGAATTTGTTTTTCTATCATGCTAAGGGCGTGTTCGGTACGACGCGTTTGGAAGTGTTTGAAAGCTTCTAACTTCTAGCGTTTGACAAAACGTTCTGTTGTGAACAGAAAGTCTCGTTTGACATTACAAGCTTCTAGCGTTTAGTTTAAACAAAATCCTTCAAATCCAAATGCTACTTCACGTAACGTTTAATAAAACTTTACCAGCTAGAAGCTACCCGTTACCCGCTACTAGCTACCTGTTACCAGCTATTTTTGCCAAACACGCTCTAAGTTAGAGACAATTCAATATTTTCATATCATGTCAAAAAAAAATCGTAAAAAAACTACTTTATAAAAACATTTCGTATAAAGTACTGTTGTAAAAAATTATGTTTTATAAAAATCAAATTTTAAAGAATATATAAAACGAAAGTTTTAAATAGATCAAGGAAATTTTTTAAAAGAAATTTGACCTAAAATCCTAATAAAAACTGAAATTGGGTTAAGATGTTAAAAGAAAAATGGGACCAAATCCTTAATAGATATTAAAAATCCTCGCCAAAAATGTATTAGAAGAAGCGAGGGACCATAAAGAAAAAATGAGTGATCAAATTCCTAATAAAAAAAAAATCGTTGTAAGGTAACCAAAATCATAACAAAAGAAGGGTTAAAACTGTAAAAATGGAAAGTAGGTGACCAAAGTAGTAAATGATATTCTAAATGTCGACGGCCAAAAGTGTAAAATGAAAAAGTAAGGGACCATAAAATAAAAATAAAGGATCAAATATGTTATAAAAGTTAAAAAAAATGCTGAAAATGTGGAAAACGAAAATAAGATGTTATGTTATGTGGGAGAATATAGACTTGGTACTTGTACTGTTCATCAAGTTGTACAGAATACATCAAAGGAGGGTATTCTGAATCAACGAGCTTGTACCTGTTTGCGTCTTTGCTACCGTTCATCCAAATCCATTCACATTCTCTCTCCATCTCTATCAAACCTCGCAAGAAAAGAATTCTTTATTCTTTAGGTAATTAATCAACAATTTTCCCCTATTTTCTATACTGCATTCAATGCTTAATATGTTTAATTCGTAGTTAATTGAATTCGGCGTTTGATTTCACATCCATTGGTGTTGATTAATTCCCGAAAATATCGTTGATTGGGGTTTCGTTCGTGCATTGTAGAATAAACATAATTTGACGTTATATTTCTCTTTTAGAGTTGGAGTTTGTGTAGAAATCGATGGATTTCTCATCTTTATGTTGTCTATGAGTTTTTTAGGGGGGCAATCGATTATCGATCAGTCTTATATAACGTTAATGGACGATCAGCGTAATGCACACCATATGTTCGACTATATGTCTGAGTCAAATTGATTACGTTCTTATAAGTTATAACTGTTGTTTTGATCATAAAGTACTGTAAGATCTTCAGAAGCACATGAAATAGGCGAAACTTTTACATGCAATCAACCAAGAGATGAAAAACATGAATTACATGTTTTGAAATACGACTATAAACATAATTTCATGGCAACATTCATATAATTTCATGGCAACTTTGACTGTAAACCTAAAGTTGAATTCAGAATTTCAGATCCTGATGTATGTCGACTAGATAAACAGTTGGCCACCTAAAAAGTTTTATGAAGCATATGTTCTCATTCTCTTTGTGTAGTGGACCTTCCAAACGCTATTACAACTTGCAATTTGTTTCAATACTAATTCAACATTCAACTTTTTTTTCAATATCTCAAAACAAAATCTTAATTTTCTCTCCAGTTCTTCAACATGTTCAAGATCCCAGATCACCAAGTTGCAGGACACGCGGCAGGAGCTGGTAAACTCGGTCCTCTTGTAGATGATTCAGGTCGTTTCTACAAGCCACTCCAAGATGGAAAACGTGGAACAGAAGAAGTTTCCTTCTATGAATCCTTCTCTTCCAACACTCAAATCCCAGAAAAAATCCGTAAGTTCTTCCCTATCTTTTATGGCACCAAAATCATGAAAGCATCAACTGGAGTCGAACACCCTCACATAATCTTACAAGATCTTGTTTCATCTCGCTTGTCACCCTCTCTAATGGACATCAAAATCGGGGCCAGAACGTGGGCCCCAGAAGCTTCTGAAGAATACATTACAAAATGCTTGAAGAAAGACAGACAAAGCACAAGTGTTTCACTTGGATACAGACTTTCGGGGCTTCGAGTCTTTATAGGTGATGAATTAGGGTTTTATAAACCAGAGAGAGATGTGATGCGTAAAGCTGGACCAGATGATGTTAGACTGTTTCTTATGAAATTTGTTTCATCTAACCTGGAATCGGAATTGGAATCGGGATCGGAATCGGAATCAAAACCGGATTGTTCTTTGGCAGCTTCTGTTTATGGTGGAGAGAATGGGATTTTGTCACAGTTGTTGGAATTGAAAGCATGGTTTGAGGATCAAACTATGTACCATTTCTATGCTTGTTCGTTACTTTTCATGTTTGAAAAGGGGTTGACTTCAAATCCAGAAGTCAAACTCATCGATTTTGCACATGTTGAAGAAGGAAAAGGGGTTATAGATCATAACTTCTTGGGTGGACTTTGTTCTTTGATAAAGTTCATATCTGAGATACTTTCAGACACAAATGATCTCAAGAATGGTCTGATTGAGCCTTAACTGACAAGATTTGAACTTTTAATTCCCACTTTTTCATAATTGTCCAGACAATGTATTTCCATTTCATTTAAACCAAGATTTGCTTACTGTATCAACCTTTTTTTGATATATCTGATTCTATTAAGTCGTTTTATCTGTATTAAGTCACAAAAAACACCAATATATCTATACCTTACTCCATTATTGAATTCACATGCTCATTAACAATACTCAAATCCCATAGGAATGTGATAAATGGGGGTTAGAAAGTCGTACCTCTACCCGAGTCACAGAGAGACTCTCTCTGCTTCCATAGATGACATGTAGCATATGATAGTAAATTTAAAAATGGGGGGAAATAAGTAGGTATATATTGTATGAAAAGCACAAACATATAAGAAAGAAACTAGGATCGATAAAGAAACATTTTTTTATTTTGACATCCTTAGTTATAAAAAAAAAACTTGTGGATGGAGCCCATTTGTTGCATATGATTAGGATAACAACATGATATCTTTCTTGATTGCAATACACACATTCTTGAAACTTAATCCAACATGAAGACTAGTAGTAAAGCTAACTCCAAACTCAGAGTGTTTCTTCCCTTAGATGCAACATAACATATATAAGTACCCAAATTTCCCATTCCAAAAAGAAGAAAGCCTAATAAACTCCAAAAAAAATGTCAAACTTAAATCTTCTCTTCACCATTGCCATTCCCTTGTTAATCAACTTCTATATTTCTCCCACAAACGGTGATAACCTCCAAGACATGTGCCCAACCGACACCTCCTCTCATAGAACCATGTTCATCAATGGCTTCCCTTGCAAAAACCCATCAAACATTACAACATCAGATTTCAAAAATTTACAATTAAGCCACCAAGGTAGCATCGACACGTTCCTACGCTCGTCTGTTACCCTAGTCACTGCTTCTGAGTTCCCGGGGCTCAACACTTTAGGGTTATCAACGGGTAGAACTGATTTAGAAGTTGATGGGTTAGTGATGCCTCACACGCACCCAAGATCGAGTGAAATGATGTTTGTGGTAAAAGGCGTTGTGATTGTTGGGTTTATTGATACGGATAGTAAACTTTTTCAAAGCGTTTTGAAGGAAGGTGATGTGTTTGTGTTCCCAAAAGGGTTGTTGCATTATTGTATGAATAGTGGGTTTGAAGATGCGATGTTTTACTCGGTGTTTAATGCGCAAAATCCAGGAGTTGTTGATATATCGAATGCTATGTTTGGGGATAAAGCGTCTGAAATGATGAAAATGGCAATGGCGAAATTGGTTTCGCTTACTAAAGTTGAAGATGTTCGTGTGGATGATGGTTATAAGAATTTTTATGACGAACTTTAGAATTATAATGTTGGATTTGGTTTTTTTGGTTTTTGGTGTTTATAATGTGTCATGTGTGCGTATACGAAAGGATTGATATATTGGCATATGTATATGCTTCTTAAAATGAAATACTTCAATTTGTTGAATTTGTTTTGAGTTTATGTAGTTGTAGATTGTATCTGGTAGACTTAATCAGTTAGAGGTTAGGTATTACCATTTTTAGAAGAAAATGCTAATATTTTGGATAATTTCCAAGTTGTGCACAAATGATTATGATTTTAGGGGCGAGCATCTAAACCGGTGGACCAGAAAGATAATATTTTGGATACTGGTTTTATGTTGTCAGGGCCGGTTATTGGTTACTGGTTTTACACTATATTGGTTCCGGTTTTTTACCGTTTCGGTTTGCCGGTTCTTGTTTTCGGACCCGTTGGACCGGAATTTTAAGAAGCATAATCTTTTTCAAATCTTTTATCCTAATCCATATGATATTATTTCCATTGGTTCTCCCCTCCAATTTCATCTCTAAGTCAGGACATCAAAACTGAAATGTCAGCTTTTCTATATATCGTGTAATATGTGAAAATCTTTCCCTAACATGAGGTTTTGTGTTTGTCACATGTTCATTGAGTTATATAGTCTTACGAAGACGAAGACGAAGACGATGTATCTCATCTAAACCACTAGATAGCAACTGCTTCATCGACCTGTACCATATTCATCGCATGTTTTACAGGTCCAAAAACCGGAAAACCAGAACCGGCACCCGGTATACACCTAATCGGTCCGGTCAACGGTCCATTGACCCCTAAATGATTTTGTAAGTTAATAAAGAACATTAAATTTGAGGGAATTGAAATTGATGTTTATTTCATACATGAATAAACACCTTTCCCAATAGAACGTGTATATAAAGGTTTGACTAACATATAACTTTTTATTTATTTATCTAAACTATTATAAAAGTCTACTGAACTTAAAAGTCGGTAATGTTTAGATTTTCAAACAAATATATTATTGTTTTGGTATTTAAACGGAAAGACTCGTATTTGATTCAAACGAGCAAGACATGAGCCATTTCGCCATTAAAAAGGAATGATATTTGTCTGATTTATATGAACTGAGACATTTTATATAAATCACATGACTTAATAAGACAGAATGTGAATATTAGTCGCAAAAGAAGTTAAAAGAAAGTGATGGGTTTAATTCAAAATTTTAAGTTTCAACTCTGAACCTGTCTTTGTTAACCTTTTCTGTTTTGATTTTTCTTGCTCCCAACCCCATGGCTGCATTTTCTCTAATTTATCTTTTTGTATACTTTTCTAAAAAGCTTTACCTAATTATTAGGAAAAAAAAACTAAACTATCGACAAAATTTAGCCAAAAATAAGAAAATAACCCAAATAATTATCAATTTTGCAGGACCAAATGTGAAATGGGTGAAAAAAATGCCAAATCTTTTTAAAATGCCTAAAAAGATTTCGTTTTGAAAAAAAAAAAGGAATTAAAATTCCATACTGCGAAATATATTTCATTTACATTTTTCATGTAAACCAAAACAAATTCATTACTGTCAATTTTTCATATTTTTATGAAATATCATGATTTTGTTAAAGAAAATATATATTTGGAATTTTTATTTGTTTTTTTGTAGAGATCTTTAAATATTATTTTCACCAGTGTTGTAAGAATTGGCACCTGGATAATTTATATAAATTTTTTTTTTTCTGATTTTGATACAAAACTGTATCTATTCAATAAGCTGTAAATCATTATAATCAATCAACTTGGCTCCTAAAAGTACAATTATTGACTCTTGGATAATCATAACTCGTAACACGTAAGTATCACACAAAGACCAACCAATACAACCGACTCTCCCACTAGGCCACTAATTCTCTTCACAAACAATGAAACAATCCAAAGTCACCCATCATCATAGATGACGTTATTTTTCTTAGAAAGAAAGATATAATCATAACTCGTAAGTATCTAGAATTTTTTGTCTGTTGAGAATCTTGTGCTCGAAATATAATGAAACTAAGGAAATGAACTATCATTATCGACGTCCAGATGTCGACGAGGTGTTCCAGGATACGTAACTTTTATACCTAAGTTAGTAACCGTGATATTAGAATAATGTATATGGAAGTATTTAGAATATTAAGAGATAAAAAAATATCCTTGTTATCGTAGAATAATTTTTCCCCATGATCAAATATTCTATTCATTGAAGCTATATTAAATACATAATTACACGTGCCTATGTTAGTTAGAGAGGGTAAATATAAATATTTGGACCGACTAATAAATATCCTAAATACACTTAAACAACTACATGTAGTTTTATTGGGATGCATACGGTGAACGTTCGATGTAACATCCATAAAAATCATGTCAAATTTAAACTTTTTAAAACATTTCAAAACCAATGATTATTACAAAACTTGTTTTCAAAATAGTATAATGTCAGAGTATCCCAGAATCAAATCATGAAAACATAAGGAGGTGTACGATCACGCATTCGCCTTCCCGCGATCATCAGAAATACTTGAAACAAAATCAACAACTGTAAGCCTGAAGCTTAGTGAGTTCCCCCAAAATACCAATGTCATACAATCATAATCATATCATATAAATAAACAACATGCATAATGAGCCTTCAGCCTGATTGGACCGCCTCGCAGGGCCTTCAGCCTATCTGGACCGCTCCCGAGCCTTCGGCACGTCTGGACCGCCTCGCAGGGCCTACAGCCTATCCGGACCGCTCGCCGGGCCTTCGGCCTAACTGGACCGCCTCGCAGGGCCTTCAGTCTATCCAGACCGCCCTGGGTATGTTGGCCTTCAGCACAAAGCAGGACCGCCTCAACCCAACCCCCCAATCAACAATCATGTGCACATAAATATCATATGCTAGCATATATATAACAGTCAAACCGATCTAACAGATCACTAATCATAGCAACATCCTATAACCAGGATACAGACCTAACCGGTCATCCACAAGCTTTTCTTTGTTCCAAGCTCCTTAGACTTCAAGCCTTCTTCACAAAACCACTTTCCAAGCTTCTTCACACACACACAAATGGAGGGTATTCAAGATTAGGGTTTTCTGGACTCAAGGGGGACGGTAAGGGAGGCTGAGGGAGGCTAATGACCCTTTAAATAGGGTGTAAAACCCGGAAATTAGAGTTTCATTTTCCAGCTCCTACTCGTTGAGTCAGGGTCCTCCGACTCGCCGAGTAGGTCCAATAATCCACGCGGGCTAACCTGCCTCTACACGACGAGTTGGGGCAACCAACTCGTCGAGTAGGTCTATAAACATGTATATAAGGTTTTAAAACTTATACCTGGGAGTCGGGGTGTTACAATTCTCCCCCACTTGAACTAGACTTCGTCCTCGAAGTCTGCTGCGGCGAACAATTCTGGATAGTGCTCTCGCATCTCTGCCTCCGGCTCCCACGTCCACTCGGATCCCCTCCTGTGCTCCCACTGTACCTTTACCAGAGGTACTTCCTTGTTCCGTAGAACCTTTACCTTCCTCTCAAGAACGGCCACCGGCCTCTCCACGTAATTCAGGTGCTCATCAACCTGAATATCATCTAACAACACTACCGCCTCCTCATCCAGAATGCACTTCCGCAACTGTGAAACATGAAAAGTGTTGTGGATCTGACTAAGCTCCTTAGGAAAGATCAAGTATATACGCCACCTTTCCAACCCTGGCAGTGATCCTGAATGGACCGATGTATCGGGGACCCAACTTTCCCCTCTTCCTGAAGCGAATCACACCCTTCCAGGGTGAGACCTTCAGGAATACCATGCCACCGACCTGAAACTCCAACTCAGATCGGCGCCGGTCGGCGTAACTCTTCTGCCGACTCTGTGTGGTCTGCAACCGCTGTCTGATCTGCTGAATCATCTCGTTAGTCTGCATGACTACCTCGGTCCGACCCATCACTCTGTGACCAACCTCGCCCCAACAGACTGGGGTGCGACATCTTCATCCATACAACAGATCATAAGGTGGAGCATCGATGTTGGAGTGAAAGTTATTGTTGTAGGAGAACTCTGTAAGGGGTAGGTAGGAGTCCCGCCTCCCACCGAAGTCAATAACGCAGGCTCTCGACATATCATCGAGAGTCTGTATGGTCTGCTCACTTTGGTCATTCGTCTGCGGATGATAGGCTGTATTGAAGTGCAGCCACGTGCCCAGTTCCTCGTGGAACTTCTGCCAGAAGCGGGAGGTGAACCGAACATCGCGGTCTTCGACAATAGAGACCGACACCCCATGGCGAGCAACGATCTCGAGGATATACACGTCGGTCAGCTTCTCGGCCGATGAACTCTCCCGTATCGCTAAAAAGTGGGCGTTCTTGGTCAATCAGTCCACGATGACCCAAATAGCGTCGAAGCCTTTCGCCGTCCTCGACAGCTTGGTGATAAAATCCATCGTGATTTGTTCCCACTTCCACATGGGAACCTCTAGAGGCTGCAGCTTGCCATGCGGCCTCTGGTGCTCGGCCTTGACCATCCTACAGGTCAGGCATCTCTCCACGTACCAAGCAATTTCTCGCTTCATGCACGGCCACCAGTAACTCAATCGTAAATCTTGTTACACCTTGGTGGCCCCCGTGTGAATAGAGAAGCGAGACTTATGAGCCTCCTCCAGTACAATCTGTCTGACCCCACCAGACATCGGAACCCAGACCCGACCACAACGGGTGAATAATCCCCGACTATCCTGCACAAATCGGGTGTTCTCACCCCCTAATCCTCTCAAGCTTCCAGTTTTCATGACACATACCCTTTGTCTGAGCTTCCATGATCAAGCTCATAATTGGAGAATCCACGGATATCCTCATACATGTCACTGGGGTAGAAGATCCAGCCGACTTACGGCTCAGAGCATCCGCAACCATGTTCACTTTACCTGGGTGGTAAAGGATCTCAAAGTCGTAGTCCTTGACTACATCCAGCCACTTGCGCTGTCTCATGTTCAGGTTCGGCTGATCC